GCTAACCAGTTAAAAATCAATAAAGAAAAAACAACTATATGAGCTGTTAAAGATTTATCTGGGAATACAATATATGACCTTAAAAAAATAAACAAAAGTTTTAGGGATTTCTATGAAACTTTAAATACACCACAAATAAACCCATCTAAAAACGAAATTGATTTCTCAACAACATAACTCTTCCAAAATTATTAGATACCCAAGCAATGGCACTGGATTCACCACTGACACCAGGTGAACTCCAGGAAGCCCTGATAAGTACGCCCAATATAAGCTCCAGGTCCAGACGGCTTCCCTGCAGAATTTTACAAAGAATTCTGGACGATTCTGGCACCTATTTTTCACAGAATGTTGGAGGAAATCAAAGAAAATGGCAGACTACCACCAAATATGAACTCTGCAAATATTAGTCTCTTACTAAAACCAGGCAAAGACCCTGTATTTCTTTCAAGCTATCGTCCAATATCCCTTATAAATGTAGACCTTAAAATAATCTGCAAAGCTCTCTCAATGAGATTAGAGAAGATAACCCCCCTCTTAATTCATCCTGACCAAACTGGTTTCATAAAAGGTCGGCACTCATCAACAAACACATGCAGATTACTTAATTTAATAGACTGCTCATGCAGTAAAAACATTGAAACCATAATATTGTCTCTTGATGCAGAAAAAGTGTTTGACAGAGTTAACTGGAAATTTCTATTTGCAACTTTACACAAATTTGGTTTTGGAAACTCTTTCGTAAGCTGGTTAAAAATATGATATAATTCCCCAACAGCTTGTGTCAGAACAAATGACCAAACATCCTCCAGCTTCTGTCTCCTGAGGGGCACCAGGCAGGGATGCCCACTCTCCCCTTCACTGTTTGCAATTTTTATTGAGCCACTAGCAGCAGCAATTAGAAAGGCTACAACAAGTACGGGCATAAAATGTAGGAATGTGGAACATAAAATCAGCCTCTATGCTGATGATGTGTTACTTTTTCTCCAAAACTCACAAACCAATCTCTCTGGGGTAACTGCATTGATTAACTCTTTCTCAAGAGTCTCAGATAAAAAAAAAAAAAAAACAGAAAAAAGAAAAAAACCAAACAAACAAAAGAAAAACCCCAAATGACCATTTATATCACACCTGTAAATAAAATGTCAGAACAACAATGTCAGGATCATTTATACTGGGAGGATACAATTCAGATTTCCTCACAAAGAAAAACTATGAAAACACTGTGTGTGTGTGTGTGTGTGTGTGTGTGTGTGTGTGTGTGTGTGTGT